AACCCGGTTCCGTTTTCAAGGTGACATCGAACCGTCCTGGGGCGACTTCAAGGCGACTTGGGGACAGGGCAACTTCAAAGAGAAAGACAACGACCCTGAGGCCCAATTTCAGCTTTTCTGCCTTTAATTATTTCACACCTTCCTCGCAAATTGCCGAGCGAACAGTGAAGGCGAGGCATCGACGCCACGCGAGGTGGCAGCGCTTTCACCAGTTCTGCTCGTTCACCGTGGCTGAGAGCGTAAACGCACCGCACTCCATCCTGCGACCCGCGGTTCGATACCCGCCGCTTCCCTACTTTTTTTCAACACACTCTTTCAACAGTGCGATTCGTGTTTTCTTCCTTTCTTTCTCACTTGATTCGCACTATCTCCAAGTATGCGCTGATCGCGGGGCAATCATCAAGTACAAAGTCTCTAAGTCTTACGAGAGTACTCGCGTCGCCTCTCGCGGCAAGCAAGCGCCGTGCAGGCAGCCGGGCCCGCGGCGCACGGCCGCTCGGCGGGCCTGCCTACCTCGCCAGGCGCTCCCCCTCCCCCAGGCCCCGCAGTACAGTCCGAGCACGAAGTGAGTTAGCCCAGCCAGGTACAGTTGCGCCCGGCGACGCCCGGCGTCCCGGGAGAAAAGTACCCCGGAGTACAAACGTCAGCAAAAGGGTTGCCGTTCCGCGCGGACCTTTTCCGGGCTCACAGTGGGCCGGAAGACCGGTGGAGGCGGCCACAGGGTTAGACGCGTTTTGAGCTCCAGAGTCGCTAAATGGGACTCGAACCGAACGTGTGACCCCACCAATGGATTCCTCGTTCGGAGAGCAATCCATTGGTGGGGTCACACGTTCGGTTCGAGTCCTGTTTAGCGACCTCTGGAGTTCCAAACGCGTCTAGAGTTTTGGCCGCCTCCACCGGTCTTCTGGCCCACTGTGGGGCTGGGAACGTTTTGGCGACCCGGTCCGGCGGAGCGACCCGTCGCGGCAAGGCAGCCCCATGTTTCGCCCGTTTGCCTAGCAAGTTTCCGCAGACGACAGCACCGTCGTATATGTGGCGCGGCTCGGCACGGCTCGGCGTCGGGTCGCCGTCAGACCCAATTCGGCCGCGGTCCCCACACGGTCCATCTTTGTGAACAAGAAAGATCGTAAGACGTCGCATCCTGGCTCTATCCGCCGAGGCCCCGCCCCGCCCCACCCCACCCCGCCACACCCCGCCCCACCACGCCGCCAGCTGCGGACACCGCGACAAACCGATGGGCTCGCAAAGTGGGGGGGACACATCCTGGAGGCACGTGACCCGGCGTGACCACGTCGCCCGCCGCGGCGCCGCGACGCCCTGGGTGCCGGCCTCCTACTTTGTAGTCCCGTTTATGGACGCGGCCAAGCCGGCTGTTTGGAAAAGGGGCGGCCCTGGTGGGGGTTGAACCCGCGGCCGCGCGAGGACGCCGAGGACGACGCCGCTCTCGCGCGCGTGCACACACGACGGCGACGACGACCAAGTTTGCCGTTTGCAGCGTACTGTCCCACGATGCTGCGGCGGAGTCGGGAACTAAGTCGTTCCAGAGGCAATTAACTTCTCGCTGCGGGAACTTCCGCGGAACGCCTCACCGGCCCGGAGTCGACTATAAACAGACTCGGTATTGAGTGGGAGCTTCCCTCCGAAAGCGCAGGCGAAGCCGCCTTGTTTTTATGTCTCTCTTTTTAGTGTGTTGTGTCTACTGCGCGAAGACAGGAACACGGCATATTTCAACCTAGCCATCCGCACCCCCCCCCCTCCCTCTCGGTGCCCCCCAGTAGCGCAATCCGTCCAACTTTCACAGTTCCCAGCCCCGTTGCAGTCATAACCATAAAGGAAGAAATATTATGCAATAAATCGGCCGGCCGGGCGAGAGAGCCCTGATGCGATTAAATTCAAACATGTTCGATGGCAGGCGGGGCGGGGCGGGGCGGAGGCTGAGGAGGCCGTCGCGCTGCACGGCGAGAGAGAAGGGTGGGATCAGGTACTCTCTGGCGGCAGCAGGTGCTGCGTTAGGTGCTCCCGGGCAAGAATGAGGTCAAAACGTTCAAATCTCGACCGTTTTGGTTATTTGTTCAAATCTAGTACCTCGACGTTTGGTCCTGGGGCTGGAATGACAGTGGGCCAGACGACCGGTGTGGAGACGGTCAAAATCTCGGTCCGCGTTTTAGAGTTCGAGAGTCGCTAAATGGGACTCGAACGTGTGACCCCACCAATGGATTCCTCGGTCGGAGAGCAATCCATTGGTGGGGTCACACGTTCGATTCGAGTCCCGTTGTCCTGTTTAGCGATTCTGGAGCTCAAAACGCGTCCAGAGTTTTGGCCGCCGGCGCCAGTCTTCCGGCCCACTGTGGAGTGCCGGCCATCCGGTCGCTATCCCGGTGGAAAAGAGGAAAATAGGTTACCCACTCGACCGGCGACCTCGCGGCCCAGCGGCCCAGCCTCGGGCCCGGCCCACCCCTAGGCGCGTTAAGTAGATGGAGCCGTCGTTGGCATGACAGGCTGTCCCTCGGTTTGACCACCACCGCCCGCCCCCCACCCCCTCGTGCCTTCTAACGACAATTTGAGCAGCAACCCCCCCCCCCTCCCTGCCCCATACGGCCCTCTGCTGCTGCGACATGCGCCATGGGCAGCGCTCTGGCAGGACAGCCGCAATTTCACACTTGGCGCTCCACAGCGCCGCCGGGATATTTGCATGATACGGAACATGAAAAATCGATCTCAACACCCATCCCCCTTTCCCCTTCCCACACACACACACACACACACACACACACACACACACACACACACACGCACACATACGTGTTTAAGACGATAGTTTGGTATTTTTTCTGGAAGAAACGACCCGCTGGATTCCCGGAAAACACCTCATGGACGGGGGTGCAGCCGGGTGCAGCAAGGGTGAGGGTGAACGGTGAGGGAAGCGGACTTTTTGAAAACGCCTTCCACACGTTCGTCTCTCTCTCGACGCGACCCGTCCCCCGCAGAGCTGGAAAACTGTTGCAGGTGAAAGAAAGAAATAATGACAGCGGACAAGTCGTGCTCACCGTCATTACAGTGGCCCTCCGTCGTCACACGCGAGCGCGCGCGCGCGCCCGCACACACACACACACACACACACACACACACACACACACACACACACACACACACACACCTCATCATGTTCCCCCTCACCTTGAATGAAGGGCGCGCCGGAAGTGGGGAAACTGCAAGTACACTGGAAGTACGGCAGCAAGAGTGCGGAAAGGACGTAAGGAGCGGCAAACAAAAGGGGAGCGGAGGAGAGAAGGACTTCGGATTTTGCAGGGGGCCGCCGCCGCCGGTTGCCTGCAGACCGATTCCGAGAGCCGTTTTCGTCGCTCTGTCTCTCTCGCACTCATGGGCCGCCCCGTACAGGTGCGAGAGCGACAGAGCGACGAAAACGACTCTCGGAATCAGTCGGCCGCGTTGTGCGTACGTTGCGACGGGGAGAGTCCTCTGGATGAAGGAGGAGGGCCTCTCGCGGCCTGCTGCCCCCCCCCCCCCAACCCCTGTCCCCCCGTTACACCCGACTATACGGCATGGCGACAGATTCCATTAAGATACGCGGCTAAATTTCACCCCTTTTGTGGGAGCTCCCGCTAGCGGACGCTGCCTGTGACAGTGAGGTCGGGAGGGGCGGGCCGCCCGGCGGCTCTCTGGGTCTGGGTCTGGGTCGGCGGTTCTATGGGTCTGGGTCGGCGGTTCTATGGGTCGGCACCGGCTCCGGGTCGGGCCGGGCTAATCCAGGGGGCGCGGCGCGGGGCGCAGGTTGATTCGAATGTGTCACGCTTTAGACAAACGAGCGGCAGTGGCGGCAGTGAATGGCTGGAGTGACAATGGGCCGCCAAGCGCGCGCTTTTCAAATCTCGAGGAGGTAATCGACGCGCTAATTTCTAATTTCGCGGCGCGCTAAAGCCGTGCTAAAGCCGCCGCAGCATAATGGCCGCGTCAGGGTCGGCAAATTATTATCCAGCCGAGGGAAATGTTAGGCGGGATTGACGAGCAACGGGGCGGGCGCGCGCACAGTGGGCCAGAAGACCGATGGAGGCGGCCAAAACTCTAGACGCGTTTTGAGCTCCAGAGTCGCTAAACGGGACTCGAACCGAACGTGTGACCCCACCAATAGATTCCTCGTTCCGAGAGCAGCTCATCAGCGGGATCACAGCACAGGCGTGGTCCGAGTCCTCTTTGGCGACTCTGGAGCTCAAAACACGTCAAGAGTTTGGCCGCCTCCGCCGGTCATCTGACCCACTGTAGGACTGACTCGGGGCACGCTTCGAAGAATCGAGCGAGTCATGATGGCACCGGCGATTTCAACGTTCGACGGGCAATCCATTAGTACCTTCACGTGTTTGATGACGTGATACGGGTCCGGAGTCACGTTCGCTTGAACAAGCCGCGGCGCGGCGCGCAAAGTCCTGTCATCTGTTGCCACCCCGGCCAGTACTCGAACCTCGAACCCTGGGCCGCGTGGATGAGACGCCGAGCCCCGCCGCCGTGCAAGCTGCATGGCGCTTGTGTTTGCATAAAATATGTCTTTATGGCTGCCGTTTGTTTCGAGGCAGAGAGAGAGAGAGAGAGAGAGAGAGAGAGAGAGAGAGAGAGAGAGAGAGAGAGAGAGAGAGAGAGAGAGAGAGAGAGAGAGAGAGAGGCAAAGCCATTGGAGGCGGCGGCCGAGAGGCGCGGGGTGTCAGTGCTTGTGGGGATGAGATGGATGTAGCCGAGCCGCTTTGGCCGACTGCACATTCCTCAAGTGAATTAATGCCCTCAGCCCATGACGCACGGCAACCTTCTCTGTATTTTTTGTATTTTTATTCCTTATTTTGTTTCGGTTTTGTAGGAAAGGGAACGAGTAGCGTTTGCGTTTCTCTTTCTCATCCCGGGGGGAAAGTCTTCCCTCTCTACCTCTATTACTTTTTCACACTCTTTCATTTGTTTTGTCACTCAAGGAGAAGGCCGAATAAGAACACGCTGTATAAATACGCTAAATTTCTTTTTAATTCATTTATAATACAATCTGTACATTAGGTGTCTGGTAAACAGAACATGGTAAATAAGGCACTTCACACAATCATGCTTTGCGTTTAGGATTAATTCGCCACGATCCTGTTATCCTAATTATACTGCAGAATATCTAAAGAGAAAATCAATGTGAAACAGTGACCCTGGTTTACATTGGGCTAATAAAACGCTTGCAACAAAGTATGCAAATAGCAGCACTATAAGTCTTGTCTATCTTACAGTCAATTTCACAAATCCTGTCAAGGCATGCCGTTTGCCTGCACGCCGGGCAAGCACTGGAGAAGTGAAGCCCGACTTGAAAATGAGAACATGCTCTACAGCTCTAGATTGTGGCATTGTCTTTTACATAATTCCCGTAATACAAAGCTTTGATTTTGAAAATCAGACTTCATTGGCAGCATCATAATACTACTATGTAAAACGTCAACAGAGCCAGCCTCGATCAACAAGGAGTATAAACTCTTCACAATTCAAAAACATCTGTCTTGATTAAAGACCATAAGCACAGCACATTGTTCAAGGAGTGTACCATCTTCAGTCAAGTGTACTTTTTTAGGTCATACAGTGGAATTCTCCTTTCATTAAATTAAATTCAGAACAAACTGAGACATAGACAAATAAATGTGTATCTTTGGTCAATAATTTATAAAACAAATTGCAATTAGATTGCATGAAAATAGAATTGTTGTGCTGAAGAAAACTTTGTGTTTCACTGTTCAAATTTTGCCAAAACATAGTAAACAACGGCATAAACAGATTTAACATTTCTTACGATAAATATAAGATAAACAAGCAGTAACAAAAATTTCAGAAGTCAAATGAAGCAAATATTAAGACTTAACTTTATACACTCTTGGAGCTGACTATCACACTGCGTTTACAAAACAATGACATGCAAACAAAAAAAAAGTCTCAAAATAGAGCTTTTTCCTAATAAGAAAATGCTGGTAATTGTTAAATTTGATTCAACATAAAAGACAAATATCACACGACTGATGAAGACACTAAATAGAAGTTCCAAAAAAATGGAAGCACAGTATTACAGCATTGGAAATAACAATAATTTCAAGAGGATAGAAGTGTCCTTTTCCTTACTCTGTGAGTTTGGTAACAGACATAATGGCAAACGCAACAAAAGAAAACGAATTAAAATATACATATATATGTAAACAAATGAGACATGAACCCAGTTTCAATGAATCGCAGCCTCAAAAAAATGTGACAAAATCATAATCATATCACAGTGTTCCTCAGTAAGCACTTTTTCTTGTTACTATTTTGCATAGACCAAAACTGACTGCAAAACCCATTTTACATAGTACTTGCATCAAAACTAAAAAGAAGAAAAGAAACACTCAGGAAGGAGGCCCCCACAGCCATAGGGAAACACTGCAATATCACAACTACTTTTTTTACACACACATATAATCAGTACCGGGGAGAGACGCCTGAGTCTGTGCCATCGCCTGGCCTTACGTTGTCTGGGGCTCGGCGTCCGCGGCCCTCGCCTCTGGCTGCTGACCGCTGGGCACCGCGACGTGCCCTGCCGGGGAGTCCGAGGCCACGGTGGTCGCCACGGCGGTCACGGAACCAGACAGGGCGGCGGTCGACGCGCTCGGCGTGGCGGCGGGACTGGTCGGCTTGGCCTGCCCCAGCAAGGAGGCCGGCCCCGACCCGGTGGGCGACAGCAGCTCGAACAGGGACTCCTTCTTGACGGAGAGGTTGTTGGGGTCGAAGCGGTGCAGGCCCAGGTTGTGGAACATGAGGTCGTTGCGCAGCTCGATGCCGCTGCGCTCCCAGGTGGGCGAGCGGTCCATGGTGAGGACGGACGGCGAGGCGACGGCCGACGCCGGCACCGCGGCGTCGTAGAGGCCGCCGTTGAGGTACTTGGTGCGGCCGGCCAGCCCCGGGATGCCGGCCAAGCCGGCCACGGGCATGCCCACCACGGGGACGCCCGTCACGGGGGACACCGCCGGCGACCGCCGCGGCCGCGGCGTGGAGGTGGCCGCGCCGTAGAGGGCGTCGTCCAGGTCGAGGACGGGGCGCGGCCGCGGCGACGGACTCGACAGCAGCGAGGCGCCCAGCGTCCCCGACGAGGACGGCGACGTCGGCTTCTTCTTCTTCTTCTTGATGTCGTTGAAGCGGGTGTAGAAGCTCTTGCGGCGAATGCGGTCGCTCACGCTCTCCGGGCCCTCCTCTGCGGACGGCGACGGCGGGGTGGCGACGGCGGGGTGGGCGACGGCGAGGCGTCCGAGCACACCGACCACGAGTCCGACGGCGCGGGCGACGTGGCCCTGGGCTGCGGCGCGGCCACGGGGAACAGGTCGAGGTGCAGCGCGGGTCGTGGCCGCGGGGTGGCCGTCAGCGTCGTGGGCGCTGGGATCCCGGTGGGCTCCTCTCTGGGCGCGGCGGGCGCGGCGGTCGTGGCGGACTCGGACTGCGCGCGGGCCTGCTTGTCCTGCTCCGCGTGCAGCGACTGCAGGCTGCGCGACCACTTGTCCAGCAGCATCTCGCGGTGGCGCCGCTCCACGTCCTTGAGGGACACCACGGGGATGTCGGGGTCGTCGGCCGGGGTGGGCCGCGTGTGCGAGACGCTGCGCGTGCTGCGCGTGCTGCGCGGCCGCAGCGGGCCGTTGGCGCCCCTGTCCCTGGCGCGGTGGCCGCGCTGCTGCGGCACGCGGAGGCCGTGGCCGTGGCTGGGGCCCGGGCTGGGGCTGGGGCTGTGGCCGAGGCGGAGCCCCGGACTGCTGGACACGGCGCGGCGGACGGGGCTCCCGGACTCGCCGCTCCGGGAGGTGGACTTCCGCAGCGTGCGGGCCGTGCTGCGCACCTCGTCCTGCTTGACGGCCTCGGTGTCCACGGACTCGCCGCTCCGGGAGGTGGACTTCCGCAGCGTGCGGGCCGTGCTGCGCACCTCGTCCTGCTTGACGGCCTCGGTGTCCATGGACTCCTTGGGGACGTTGTTCTCCTTGGCCGGCGGGCTCTTGCTGATGGCCTTGGGGATACCGCCCGCCTCAGAGACTCTCTTCTTGTCGTCGCTCGACCTCGGCACCTTGCCCTTGGACGGCGACTTGCTGACGGGCGAGTCCGCCTTGCTGAAGACCTTGGTCCTGGAGTTGGACCTGGAGACGGCCTTGTCCGCGTCCTTGGACAGCGCGCCCCGCGACAGCGACTTCCTCAGCGGGGACACGGTGGCGTCCGCGCCGTTCTTGGTGGGGGACTTCCGTTCCGCCTCGCCGGGGATCTTGGTCCTCGACGCGGACCTGGTGGGCGAGGTCACCACGCGGCTGGTGTCGTCGCCGGCCGCCGGCTTCGGCGGAGTCCTCGGCGGCGTCTTCTCGTCGCTGCGGAGGAGCTTGGTCCTGGAGGACGAGCGCGCCACCAAGGACGGGGGCGTCGCCGCCGGGTCGGACACGACGCTCAGGTCGGCGACATCGTCCCTCGGGATCCGGGTCCGCGACAGCGACTTGGCGGGCTTCGTTGGCTCGTCCTTGCGAACGGAAGACCGCGACGAAGACTTGACGACGGACGGCTGGTCTTTGCTCGGCACTGACGAGCGGGAAGAAGACTTCAGAAGGGGAGTTTCTTTGGACGAGTCTTTGCTCAGCACCGAAGAGCGGGAGGAAGACTTTATGAGAGAAGTTTCTTTGGACGAGTCTTTGCTCAGCACCGAAGAGCGGGACGAAGACTTTAAAAGAGAAGTTTCCTTGGGCGAGTCTTTGCTCAGCACAAAAGAGCGGGAATTCGATTTGACAAGGGAAGTTCCTTTGTCTGACGCCAGCTTTGCATCATCTGCTGTGCGAAGCGATGACCTGGAGGTCGACTTCAAAACGAGCACAGTCTTGTCTCCGGTTGGTTTTGCATCATCCTTTCGCACTGATGACCGCGAAGAAGATTTTACCAAGGACTTTTCTCTTTCTAAAACAGGCTTGGAATCTTCTTTACTCCGTAGAGTGGCTTTGGAGGCCGACTTCACAGGGGATGTTTCTTTGGAGGAATTAATTTTTTCATCATCTTTAGGAGGAGAAGAATCGGAAGTTGAGATCTCGATGGATTTTTCTTTGTTGGCAGTCGTTTTTGCCTCCTCCTTTGGAATTGAAGATCTAGAAAATGACTTGACAGGAGAAACTTCTTTGGACTTGGGCTCTTCTTTCCGTATGGATGATCTAGAGATAGATTTCACAGGAGGGGATGCCTCTTTGTCTTCATCTTTCCGGAGTTTGGTTCTGGAGCTCGACCTCAATGGAAATTCGAGTGAGCTGCCTTCAGTCTTGGCCACAATAACTTTGGGTGATGGCTTGGACACGGAGACTCCCCCATTCACTAGGCTAGTTGAAGTGGGCGGGTCCAGCCCATTGGTGCCCTGCCCCGCTAGGGGCTTCCCGATGACGTCAGACAGCCTGCCCCTTGAAGAGGACTTCAGCAGCACTGGTGCTTTATCATCAACAGGTATTTTGCTTTTCGATAGAGATTTCCTAGGAGGGCTTGAGGGCTCATCCTTCGTTCCTAGTTTGAGTTTCGAGAACGATCGAACAAAAGGACCATCGGACGTCTCTTCGATTTTACTTGATTTCAGTTTGACAGGGTGCTTTGAAGGCGTATCAGTTCCAGCACCGCTGCCAGTTTTAGGGGCAGGAGCGTCTGCAGACTTTGAAGAATCCTGAGACGGGTTACTAGGCAGTGTTGAAGGGCCAGGTAGATTGGACTCTACACTGGCGAGTGGAGGTCGGGGTATTGAGCTCTCCACTTGAGTCTTCGTATCAGTCGATGTCAAGTCAGAAGTTTCGCCTTTCGAAATACTGGAGGCGTCTCCTTCGACCGGCTTCGCGTCAGAATCCTTCTTCTTGACCATTTTGGTTTTACTCTTGGAAGACAAGAGCCCCTTGACCTTGGACCCTGACTTGGTGCGGGCCACTTTGGTCGGTTTGGGGTCCGAGGCCACGGACCCGCCCTCGGTCACCGGGACGCCCACGTCGCCGTTGGCCACCGCCTTCTCCGTCGCCTCAGTCTTGTCGGCTCCAACTTTGCCCCCACTCGGAATGATAACTTGGCCTGCACTGGAATCCTCTTTGGCGCAGGAAATGCGAAAATCACTGTTTTTGTCTCGGCTCGGCAGCACGATGCTCACGTCCACCGAGACGGCGCACGGAGGTGTTGAAGCAGCGCCTGCAGCGGCCGGCTCGTGAGGTACTGCGGCAGGGCTTGCTTTAGCACCGCCAGAAGCAGGTTCTGCAGCAGGGCTTGCTTTGGCACCGTCAGGAACGGGCTCTGCAGCAGGACTTGCTTTGACGGGCTCCTTCTTGCGACGAGGCCGCTCGGTGGCGAGGCCCGCGCCGTCCAGGACGCTGTCGCTGGTCGAACCAGTGTAGGAGCGATGGGGCCTGAAGGAGGGGATGAGGCCCTGCTTCACGTCGGCGGGGTCCTTCCTGAACAAGCTCATGACCCTACCGGCGATCCTGCTGCCGCCGCTGCTGCCGGCGGGCGCGGCCGCGTTGCCGCCGGCGATGTCGCTCACGGACACGGCCCTCTTGAGCAGGCTGGACTCGGTGGGGGCCGCGTCGGCCTCCTTGGGCTCCAGGCTGTGTTCGCGTAGGCTGCGGATGGTGGATTCGATGCGGCTGGTCGCGCTGCTGGGGGCTAGCGCCGCGGGCGGGGGCGGGGGCGGGGCGGCGACGGGCTGCGGCGGTGGCTGCGGCTGCCCCGTCCGCAGCCGCTCCAGCCGCCTCTCCAGGGACTGCAGGAAGCGGCTGCTGGTCTTGCTCGCTTCTTTGTCCTTGGCCGCCTTGCCGCCGCGCTCTGGCTGAGGCTCTGGCTGCGTCGCTGGCTGAGGCTGCGGCTCCGCCTCTGGCTCCTCCCTGGCCGCGCTGCGGCTGCGGCTGCGCTGCAGGTCCTGCTCCTTGGCGTAGGCGCTCTCCTCGCGCGGCGTGTCGAAGAAGTCCGGGCGCAGGAAGCGCGAGATGCGCCTCTGCACGGGCTGCTTGCTGGCCTTGGGCTGCTTGGGCTGCTCGTCGCCAGAGCTCGAGCCGCGGAAGAACTTGCTGAGGATGGAGCGCTCCGGTGTGGCGCGCGTCGACGCCGACCTCCTCAGCGAGGACAGGTCCGCGGTGGAGCCGGCGGCGAGGCCCAGGCTGCTGGCCGGGCCGGGGCCAATCTCGCGGTTCACGGACATGGAGCGCCCCATCCTGGACTGGGCAGGCGGCGCAGTCGTGGAGGACGTCGTCGGCGGGGTGCTGGCAGTGTCGGCGACCGTAGGGACAGATTCGGCAGTGCCAGGGGATTCAGTCTTGCTCGAGGCGGGAATTTCTATTTCTTCCTGGTGGGGAGTGGTTGGCCCAGGGGTGGCCGCGGCCAAGCCGGGGGCGGCGAAGGCGGGCGCGGAGGTTCCGGGGGTGGCGATGCCGGAGGGCGAGCGGGCGGGGGCGTCACCCAGGAAGGCGCTGGAGGGGCACGACCTGGTGAAGATGCTGCTGCTGCTGCTGCTGCCCTCGCTGCCGGGCTCCTTCCGGTGTGACGGCATGATCTCATAGTAGGCGCAGTCGTCGTCGCTGGCCCTGGCGGCGAGGCCCTGGCCAAGGCCCTGGCCGAGGCCCAGCCCCGTCAAGCCGAGGCCAGAGGTCCGGCGAGGCAGTGGCGGCCGCTCCGAGTCGGACAGCGACATCGCGTAGGACGAGTAGGGGCGGCGCGCGGGCGACGACAGCGACGACAGCAGCGACGGCCGGTAGGACCCCGACGTGGAGGAGCTGGCTCCGGGACTGGCGGGCCGCTCCCGCATCGACAAGGTCCTGGACAGCCCCAGGCGCCGCGCCGCGCTCGAGTACACGTCGTCACCGTCGGACGCCGAGGCGCGGCTGGGGCTGGGGCCGTGGGTCGGCAGGTAGGACGTGGGGATGTTGAGGCCGTTGAGTTCCTCCTCCAGCGCGCGCGCCGCCGAGGCCCTGGAGGGCGCCGGCAGGTACGAGGCCGGGATGTTGAGGCCGGCCAGCTCGTCCTCCAGGGCGCGCGAGGCCGAGGCCCTGGACGGGGTCGGCAGGTAGGACGCAGGGATGTTGAGGCCGTTGAGCTCCTGCTCCAGCGCGCGGGCGGCGCGCCGCGCACTCGAGTAGCCGGCGGTGCTGCTGGCGCTGCTGGCGCTGCCGGGGGTGCCGGCGCCGCGGGGGTAGCGGCCAGACAGCGCGGCCAGCTCGTCCGCGGACACCGCACCGCTGCCGCCGCTGCCGGCCGTCCCCGTCGACTTGCTCTTCATGTAGGAGCGCGCCAGGCGGTGCGGCCGGTCGCTGGGCTGCGAGGCGCCCACGGCCGACATGGACGCCGACGTGGACGCGGCCGCGGACGCGTTGCCGCTGCCGCCGCCCTGGTGGTACTGCGCCAGCCGCGCCGCCAGGCTGGGCGTGTACGAGTACGAGGACAAGGAGGACGCCTCGCTGAAGTCGCCGCTGCTCCGACCTGGACAAGGACGCCGTCGTGAGACACGGGTTGCAACAGGTGCACGCGCAGTGCCTAGCAGTGCCGCAGCAGCGCCGTCGTGGCGTTCGGTTAGTCACACACTGAGCCAAGGCATGCCGACGGCGCCCTGCTGCGCTGGCCTCGGCCGAGGACATGCACCGCCGAGTTACCAAGGGGCAAGCTGCTGCAAACCGGACAGCTCTAAACTGTTTGAAATTTTGTCTCAAGCTCTTAAAAAAGAGAGATAAATATTCTTGCCCCTTGGTAATTCAGAACAGAATTGTATTAAAGTTGTTTCTATATTTGAAGCGACAAAATCTATGAATTGCCTCCTGAAACACGTTATAGAATGAAAGCCATTTGTCGTTGAATAAAACACTGGGATAAACGACATTTTTGGAAAGAAGGATGAGCATTTCAGGGGGCAACAAACTTGTTAATAGCTGTTAGCAGAGATTGAGAGAGGTACATACTAGCACAAAACTACCGTCACTTGGTTGGTTGCTTGCATGTGGTCGATGTGGGGGTTGGGTGGTTGGGGTTGGGCTGTGGGGTTGTGTCAGTGAGTGGAGGAACCAGTGGGGGAGCTAGCGCCGCTGCCGCTGCCCCCACTGCTACCCCCGCTCAAACTGCCACCTCCCCCTCCCCCTCCGCCAAACTTGCGCCCCCCTGCCCCCGGTACATGCACGCTCACACGAACCCTCGCTGCAAATCATCAGAAAGAGAGAAAGAAAAAATGTAGTAGTAGTCAATGCGATCAACAGGAAAAGTCAATCAGAAGAGCTTCACAAACAAGAAAAAAAAAGCATTCTAAACCAGTGAGGCAGAGATGTATCAGGAACTTGCATCACATCGTCTTTTAAAAACAATGTAAAATAAAAGAAAGGAGGATCTAAATCAAGAGAAAGGTTCACATAAGAATGGTGTGTAAGTAAGAAACAATCTGACACTGCAACTATTATCAATAAAACTCTAGCACTGAGTGAAATACCTAAGGGAAGTGGAAAGCTTCTGATTAGAAAAAGTTTCGTTGGCAAAACAGGTCTATTTTCAAAAATTCTGGTTTTTGCTTCACCCCAAGCTAAATCAAATCAGGCGCTTACTGACACAAAATTTGCATGTGTGAGGATATTCACAAGAAACAGCAAATCAAAAATCTAACAATAAAATAATGACAGTTTCCAATTAATGAGCAGTAATCCCCAAAACTAATTGATCATGCAAGCTGAGGCTGCGGCCAATCGTCTTTCTTCCCTCCTCTTTTCAAGCAAGCTTTCCATAATAGTATCGCATATAAGCAAGGGAACAAAGCAAATTCTCAAAATAGTACAGAATTTTCAAAGACATGGCTAGAGAAAGAAACAATTTGTGGAGTAATTGCTGGTAAATTTTGGAAATTAAAAGTGAAAATTAAAAGTGGAAAATGATAAAAATAAGAAGAGAAGGTGATAGTAATAGCTTTGGGTGTTGACAAAAGTGAAATGGGCTTAGCGTCATACAGTTGTGATTATGAGCACAAGTATATTATTCTTAAAGTTTTCATTTTATCTTCATGGAGCACACGATAGAATGTAAAAATGCTATTTTGGTCATAATTATGCCTAAAATATGTTACGGATCACATGAATGTTACTGTAGACCAAAAATAAGTTAGTGGGATCGTAAAATGTAGAATAGACAAAATAGTATATGTACAAGAAAGTCCACAAAAGTGTTGGAATGTTGAGTACATGCAATATGTACCTTGGCGTCAGTTCATATTTATGAAAAGTTTAAAGTGGTGGATTTGTTGAGTAATGTGATCTATGCTCTTTATAATCTTTGTCAGTGCTTATGTCACCTAGAAGACTTATCTCGAATAAAATCCATGAGATTCCACAAGATACTGTCATTAGTACTCAATTCATCAAAATGTTTTGAATCCAAAATACCCTACAGACAGCAAAATATGTTCCAACCCATTCAATTTAGAGACTTGCAAAACATTGGAATGATCTCCATTTAGAACTGTTCTATGCAATCGAACACTACCATACAACGTGCACAGAAAAAACTGCAAGCCCATGTAAAAAAATAGATAACCATCTAATGAAATGTGCATTACTCGAATTTCTAAGTCAAAGATTCTGTGCCAAATAGGTATTTGGTTTGACAGTTGGTAAAGGACATTGAAGTTACAAAATAAATAACAGAATATACATTCTCAGCCTCCTTGGTTTGTGTGACACACAAAATTAGTTTGATTTTAAAATGTGATAGACACCTCATGCACTATTACTCACCATTTTCATTGGAAAAAAAGAAACAACAGAAAAATGTTTGGATCGAAGAAAAAATAAATTCAAACAAAAACAGCAAAATTCTAGCAAACTGTTAATTTGGAGAAACGGGGTGAAGCAGCCATGAACGAACAAATGAGAGGAAAAACCAGACAACATATGCACGAAAAACTGTTAAATGCCTTACATTCATACACAAAATAAAAAGTGAGGGTACCCAAACTCATTTTCTTCCACAATAATGTCAATACATTCTAACTAATAGGAAAATGAACTTTCCTATGCATTTTCTTTCATTTCACTAAATGCAATTAAAAGTGATGAATTTATCACCAACTCCGATGTGAGCAAGTTCCCTTTACAAAACCCACTAGAGCTTCAAGTTTAAATGTAACCTCTTACATGAATCCAAGAAATTCTAACAGTGTCAAGGCAAACACAGCCAAATATTTCTAACGTTTCTCAAAAATTGGGTCAGATTATCCATCCTCATCATACATGTGATATCCACATGGGAGTATCTAACTGAGTGAAATTGCCTAAACAGCACATGAATGATGGAGGGACATGTACCAAAGAACTGATTCTTACCTTTAGGTACTGTGCCACTTGCATGCGACTCACTGTAGAGACTGTCTGTGTCTGACACGTCTCGGCTGACACTTCTTCTCCAAGGAGTAGGTCCTACAGAGCCACTTTCACTGTCATTGCGACTGAATGATCTTGAGGTTTCAGATATTCTTCTGCAAACACATGAGAAAGATATTGCATTGTTGCCCTATAAAATTTAAGGATGTACTGCATTTTCAAGTTACACAAACTATTGATACAACCAAGAGGGAGTGAAAGCAAGCTATGGCTGGAGTCTTTTCAGCACATTGAAATTGAGAAACAGCAATGGGAGAGTAAAAAGATAGCAGGGACATGACAAATGAGACAGAAGCACCTAAAAAGCCTAAAGTTGGGTTCTGAAGCATCAATTGTTACATGTTATGCCCACTCACTTAAATGTAGTTGTGACTGTCGTCTGAGTACTGGTGTTATGTATGCTGAACAACACAAATTGGGTTAGATGTTAGTAATTTCCAATAATTTATTCTAAATGAAATAATCAACACATATCCAATCCCTTTTATTGCTTGTTAATGAAAAAGTGATGGAGAGTTAATGGTATGTTAGATTCAAAGGCTAAATACATTTGTAAAAATGTGAACATAACTTACCGTGACAGTGGCTCAAAAGGTGAACCCCTGCTGAGCAGACTTGAGGAAGGAAACATGAAAGGAGATGCACGGGAACTAGGATGAGTACCAAATTGACTAAGCAGTCGTGTTGAAGGAAATCCTGGTCTCCCACCATCCTCTACATTTAGCCTTTGAGTAAGACTGCGAACCTGAAAATAAAACAAGGATACTGATGGAGTTGAGTTCCTACAGCCATCTAAGAAGCCCCTTTGGCTTGTCAGATACATACCCTTGAGAGTAAAGACGAAAACAGATTTTCAGCTGTGAGCAATTCAAAGCCTTCATCATCATCCTCCTCTTCCTCTGCTGAACTCATACTATCTGTATGCTCTAGAGTGCGCTGAGAGGGCCTTGAGCTCCTGTAAAAAAAAATAAAAATAGACATATATATATATGAGATTTTTTTGTTCCGAAAAGAAACTAAAAAAAAAAAATAACTTGTTTAGTCAAGTATGAAAGAGTAAGGTTCTGATTTTGAAAGAAATAAGTACCTCAGACGGTGCAGATGGAAAGCTGATGGGCGGTCTTCATTATCACTATCTCTACCTATAGAGCTATGTCGATGTAGAGATGCAAATGGACCTTCATCTTCACTCTCACTGAGAAGACTACTGTTGGACAGGAAAAAAAAGACAAATTAAATTAAAGAACAAATAATAACATGTAGTGAGAACGCACTTCACAGTATGTGACACATGTATATAAAGTAAGGATTTGCATTAAAAAGGAACAAAAAATTGAAGCAAGGAATATATATGGTCTTTGCATTGCAACACAGAAGCTTTTACCTGAATTTAGTACGATGTCTTTCTCGACTAAGATCCACAAGAAAAAAAAGCAGACAAAAATTCAGCATTTGTTAGAAATTATAGCAATTGTCCAAAACACACTTTTAGAAAAGCAGTTACATGAGTGTGAGCTATCAAGGCAAGCTGCATTTCATAATGTCACATTCAAAAGTTCATACCTCATTCTCTTAGTTCTGCTGCTAAGCCGAGATCGGGGCAAACTATGAGTTGAGGCTCGGCTTTCTTCACTTGGTTCTAAGCTTGTAGCTCTGGGAGTGACATAGCCTCCTCCTTCCAGAGCAATTGGTATAACATACTCACGAGGAGATTTTCTAATAGGTTCACCTCCACTTTGAGAAATTGTGCTTTCAGTATCAGAGTCCTGCGTACTTTGCCTTGACAAACTATTAGACCTAGAAAAACAAATATCAATTTCCTTAAAGCCATAACTTTTATAAAATTTTAAATCATAAAATTATCTGAAAAATGTATACCTCTGAGAAATCTGAGACATTGTTCTTTGATATGGTAAGTTCCCTGATGCCGATTGGGATGTAGTTGGTGGTACAGGAGGCTTGGCAGGAGGTGTTGATGTCCGAGGAGTGGCATTTTCATCGGCCTCAAAGTGTATCGGTATAATATGCTCTCGGGGCTTTGACTTAGAAGACTCTGGCTCACATGATGCAGATCTAAAGAGTTAGATAAAAAGACAGTTAAACAGGTCAATATTTCAATAACAAACATAATTATGGAAAAATTAGCTGCAGTTACCTGAATGGCATGGGATGCACTCTTGTAGAACTGCCTGCAGCTGCTACAGGGAAAGACACTTCGCTTCTCTGGTGTCTCGGTCTGTTGGGGTATTCAGCAGCACCGACCATATGCTCAACCTCACTGCGATAGCCGCCCAATGGCTGGCCAGCACTGGCCCTTCTTCCCGGAGACGGAGGAGCCTGAATCATGCGCTCAAGCTTTTCTGGACTAGGTGCTTTAGGAGGTGGGGGTGTAGCCATCTGTATCTTTGCTTCAGATGTCTTACGGCGAGGGAGAGTTGCCGACTTCAAAGTGATCTCCATTTTACTTGCGGTCTTCTTTGGCTCAGAGTCCTCAACCTCTGACGTAGCTTGGACTCCCTTCTTTGGAAGAGGAGGTTCCTCTCCTTGGTACTTAGTGGCTTGTGGTGTTGATACCTTCAAACAAAAAGACTAGTTAGAAAAAAATTGGCCAGAAATGATAGACGGGTTTGGAAACCTTATTGTATTACCTGGATTGTTGCTAGACGAACATCGTTTGGTGCAACCTGTACTCGTACGGTTTTCAAACCTGTAATTGGATCCACTGCAGTCGGTGAAAGGGGAGTACCTGGAGCTGATGGAGTGCTAGGCTTGGATTCATCTAATGAATTTAGTTTCGGTGTCTTCTTTAAAGAAACTCTACGGCCAGTCACTTGGCCTTCAATAACACTACTAATAACTCCAACTGCATCTTTGACTTTCTTTGCTCGGTCTTCTTGTGGAGGTTCTGGGGCTGGTGTTGAAGGCTCTGTAATAGATTCCTGTGCTGCAATAGCAGCTTCCATAGGCTGGTCTTGGACAGTCTTTTTAGACAAGGAGTTCTTTACTCCTGCAGGTACTGAAGTTATGGAACCCTTCCTTTCACCAATTGCTGGTACAGATGTCGTAGAAGATGTGATGGATGACTTTCTCTCATATGCAGCCTTGGCATCGCTCACTTTGACCCCAGGTATGAGAATCTTCTTAGGCTTTTCTACTACTGAACCCTTCCTTTCTGTATTGGCTAGATTGTTAAACCTCTCAGCAGTCTCAAATATTTTTGATTTTCTACGTTCTGTACTCCTTGGTGGTTCTGCATCTTCAGGTGTATTAGGTACAGGCACTGCTGGTGTTTCATTGGCTGGACTAATAATTTTTGACAAGCTTATTTTTCCTTGGCTTTTTGCCTTGTCAAGACTGGCAATATCAGCACCAGTATCACTTAAACTTAGGGAAGATACAGGCGCTGTGGAGGAACTCATAATACTCACAACACCTTCACTAACATCATCACCATTCACTCCGTCCTTCACTTCTTCAACACATGGTTCAGACTGGCTAGACCTAACACTTTCATCACTGGGGCTAGTATCACTTAGTTTGTCATTACCCGAAGAAGCAGATGTATCACGTTTTGACTGATCTCCATCGAAAGCCTTTCGCTTGGTTTTGCCTCTAGAGCTTTCCTCTACTGCTGACGCGTCACTCACAGGCACCTTGGCTTCTTGTGTGGGTTCACTTCCACTTCTTCCCTCAGCAACACTTGCCTCTGGCTCTGCACTGTTAGCAGTAAGAGCGGAGTTCTCATCTTTTTCTGGTTTTGTTTTCTTCTTAATTCCTTTCACTGATTTTCGCTTTTCTTCAGTTTTCTCAACAGCCTCCGCTTTGTTTGGTTGAGAAGGCTTATCAAGCAAACTATTACTTATGGCACATGCAGCTGCTAGAGTCAAGTCTTTAGAATCACTCCTGGGCAGAGCCTCGGCTTCAACATCCATAGTTTCAGCCTGTTTCCTACTGTGGCTTGAGGACCTCCTGTCTGAGCGACTACTTCGCTGCTTGCTACGGGAACGTTCCTTTTTCCTTGCCCCTCCAACACTAGCATCTTCAGTAGAAACTGCATCCTCAATTTTGCGTTTTGGTGTTTCTGCTGCTTTATCAATATTTGCTAAGAAAAACATAGAAGAAATTTGGTTAAAATAAAGTGAAACTGGAACAAAAACTGTGTTTGTATAAAGTAAATGATTACTACCTCTACTTTCTGTCTTTGTTGAATTAACAAAATCTCTTATTCTTCTCTCTGCTGATGGTTGATCTAGATCCATAAGACTACCTACAGAGTGAGACCTAACTGGACCTTCTGCTGAGCCAGCCACCTCCCCATTGCCCTGCTGGAAATTAGAAACAAGACAAGACAATAAGTTTGCAATCAAAACAAAAAAAAGTAAGTCAAGTGAAACAATACAATACCTGATCTGAGGTAACGACAACTTGTTCTGATGACACAGGGGGCGCAAGAGAAAGAAGGAGATCTAGTCGAACAGGTGTTTGATTGGCCAAGTGCTCTGCAATATCAAGGCAGGACTCACTCTGACCTTCATTGACCCACCAGTGGGAGCAGATTTTGACTATATCAGCTCGTTTAGCTGGTGAAACTGTCAGCATTTCTCTTATAAGAGGAGAAGCAGCTACAAAACAAGGAGAAAAAGATTAGAACAATGAGAGGCAAATTTCATGAAGTTAAAAAGCTGTGGGAATGTACTTACGGGATGGCTTTTTTGGTTCAAAGTAGTCACCCTGAGAAATTTGTTTGACAAGACGCTTGAAGTTAGATCCATCAAAGGGCATCGCACCATACACAAGAGTATATAGAAGAACTCCCAATGACCTGCAAAAAGACAAGTATCAGCTTCATGACAAGTCATCAACAACATGGACAGCAAAAGGAATAACAAATTGTACCAGCAGTCGACTTCAGGCCCATGGTATGGAGTTCCTTGAACAATTTCAGGAGATGCATATAAAGGACTTCCACAAAATGTTCCTAGTAATCGTGTCTCGTCAAACACATTTGACAAACCAAAATCTGCAATCTGTAAGAGAGCAAAATAGAAGTGAAAATTCACAAGCAAACAATATCATCTCTAAAAGTGGTCATGAAAATGTCTTTGTACCTTTGCACTGCCAGTTTCATCAAGCAAAATATTTTCTAATTTCAAGTCACGATGACAAATTTTATGCTGAAAATGGATTTAGAAATATTTGAGCATGAGTGTCAGTACAAGTTATGAAAACATCACATTGTTTCAAAAAATATACCTTATGACAGTAATAAACTGCAGTTGCTATTTGCCTAAACAATCTACGAGCTTCTTCTTCACCAAGAACCTTGCGCTCACTCAAAAAGTCATATAATTCACCACCAGCTGCATATTCCATTACTAAAACCATTTTTTCCCTGTTTTCAAAAACTGTAAAATAGAACAATTGACACTCATTAGTCAAGAAAATAACAGTAAAGAGGTCACATCAGTTAGATTTCAAACAAAAGAAAGTAGTTTCATCTTTATAAAGACCTTCATAAATGTGGATTATGTTGGGATGCTGGACAGAACTCATAATCTGAATTTCCCGCCTAATGCGCACTAAATCCGCCTCCGATTCAATCTTGCTCTTCTTGATAGTTTTTATGGCAACCTCCTGCCCCGTTTCCTTGTTGATGCCTAGCTGCACTTTGCCATAGGTTCCCTGCCCTAGCTTCTTGATGATGTCAAACCTGGGGGCAGAATGGAAAACCATTAGTGAATGGAAAATCATTAACAGTCGGATTGCTTGAGCCCCTGAAAGGAGGCAGGGTAGGCAGTCCCGTTGCACCGAGGTGCTCGGCGGGCCTGCCTACCCATTGTTTTGCAGGCGGCGACGGCCCCTGGAGGGTAGGCAGTCCCGTTGCACCGAGGTGCTCGGCGGGCCTGCCTACCCATTGTTTTGCAGGCGGCGACGGCCCCTGGAGGGTAGGCTGTCCCGTTGCACCGAGGTGCTCGGCGGGCCTGCCTACCCGTTGCCTCGCAGGGGCTCGAGCGGCGATGCAGGCGCGCTGCCGCTGACGCAGCTTACCTCTGGCGCAGTTTGCGGCGGTGGTTGTGCAGGCGGACCCCCGCCGTGCTCTCCATGCCGCCCATGATGTTCATGATGCTTGCCTTGTCGACCACCATCTTGCCGGTTTGAGGTGCCTGTGGACAGAGAGGAGACACAGCACTGTCAGTTGGTTTCAGCAGCACAGCAGCGGCGAGGGTCGCACTGTGGACCAGAAGACCGGCGGAGGCGGTCGAAATCCCGGACGCATTTTGAGCTCCAGAGTCGCTAAATGGGACTCGAACCGAACGTGTGACCCCACCAATGGATTGCTCTCCGAACGAGGAATCCATTGGTGGGGTCACACGTTCGGTTCGAGTCCCATTTAGCGACTCTGGCCCACTGTGGCGCGTCGAGGTAGCGCGCGGTCAAGCGGAATCCACGACACGTCCCGATTAGCACGCGCGTGACGCTGGCGTGACGCGGGCGTGACCGCCCCGGTGAGTCACCACGCACTTTCGCGAGGAGCGGACAGGGCAGGGCAGGGCTCAATCGCTTGGCTGGCAAGGTCCACTCCCCAGGCTGGCGGCGCGGCATGAGTCTGAGTCCCGACGGTGCAGCGGGGAGGTCGTATGACGTCACCGCACCGGCCGCCTCCCACTCACCCACCAGCACCTCTCAACAGGTACCGGACGGAGGCACTCTCCCTGTGGGGTCGGCAGACTGCATGTAGTTCCACGTCGATCGCTCTGTCTCTCTCGCGCACCAACGCGACGCCCTGTGAGTGCGAGAGAGACGGACTGCACTCACTGGCACAGCTGGTTTCAGCCGCATGCTGATGGGTTGGTAAAGTTTTCCCCTTTCGGAAAACATCCCCATGTCCACCTTGATAAAGCGGAACTTGAAAAATAATTTTCCGGTAGACTGTACTGCGAATGGGGAACGACATGTGCATGAAAAGGTTGTCTCTAAACCACCAGGCTACGCTAGGCACCCAACCCGTCTGCGGCAACGGACCACTGATTCCGAGAGTCGTTTTCGTCGCTCTGTCTCTGTCACTCTCATACGGACGCCCCATGAGTGCGAGAGAGGCACAGCGACGAAAGCGACTCTCGGAATCAGTCTGCAGCCAGCAGCGGGACGGTGCCGCACCGATCCGCCTTGGCTCGGATGACGTCACCCTCCTCCCGCGCGCCGTGCCCGTGGCGCCCGTGGCCGTGTCCGAGGCCGCACACTTTTACAACTCAGATCAGAGGCACTCCTGGCAGTGACCGCGGCAGCCAGGCGGCAGCCGCGCGATTCAGAAGAGTGGTGCGTCGCTCTGTCTCCCTCGCACCTTCATAGAGAGCCCCACGAGTGCGACAGAGACGGAGCGACCGAGTCCCTCGGCAGCCGCGGCGGATCAGAACCAACTCATCCCAGCGCACCGCCATGGCACCGCACCGCGCGGCGACAAGGCGTGACCTCATGACGGAGGGACCCACAGTGTGGGCCACACGCTGCTGCCACAGCCGGTGGCTCCACACTCCTCACTCCGCGGACCGTGACTGCCCATGGCTTTATGGACCCATGGCCGTGACTTTGCGTCGCTGTGCGCGCCTCGGTGGACTCGCCAGTTTATGGGCCCTCGCGCACCTCCCCCATGGCCGCCCATGGCCACCCATGCAGTGGGCCAGAAGACCGGTGGAGGCGGCAAAAATCCCTCACGCGTTTTGAGCTCCAGAGTCGCTAAATGGAACTCGAACCGGACGTGTGACCCCACCAATGAATTGCTCTTCGAACGAGGAATCCATTGGTGGGGTCACACGTTCGGTTCGAGTCCTGTTTAGCGATGGAGCTCAAAACGCGTCAAGAGTTTTGGCCGTCTCCACCGGTCCTCTGACCCACTATGTGCCTGGCCAGTGCCCACCCATGGCCCTCACATCCTCGCGTACTTTGAGCGCGGAGTGGTACCAGTGAGTGTACACCGGCCAGCTTCCACTCACTCAATCACTCACTGGGGACTGCCTTGGGGACCGCACCGTACGCAATGGTCAGACTGTACTCGAAGTGGCGAAAGTCAAGCGGTTACACTGCTGCCTGCTGCCTCAGGCAAAAGTGTCTAAAGGGTAAACAGCCAAACTCTACCGGCCTACGGGGCGACTTCTCGACAGGAAAGCAAAAATATTGCCTCGTATGCACGCTGAGGTTGGCAGCCCTTTCAACAATGGTGCCCAGTGGGGCCAGTGGCCCATCCTCGCCGTGCGAGCGACAAGGACAGCAACAGTCTTATGAAGAACGTGTACGCGCGCGTACTCCGCACTCAAAATAACTTTTTATTTCGGACGCGGCAAGTCGGGGCGCGCCGCGTGCGCACGCCCTTCGACGCCATGACGATGGAGTCCGCGTGATAAAGGCACGCGTCCACAGACAGACAGACAGACAGACAGGTGGACGGACAGACAGACAGACAGACAGACAGACAGGCAGACAGACAGACAGACAGACAGACAGACAGACAGACAGACAGACAGACAGACAGACAGACAGACAGGCGGACAGACAGACGGACGGACAGACGGACGGACAGACAGACACATACGCGCATTCACCCCAGCACTCGCATTCTCCAACGGGTAGCGAGCCGATGATTCCGAACGGCGATCTTGCATCTTTCTCCGTCTCACTCGCACTCATGGGGCGCCCCGTGCAGGTGCGAGAGAGACAGGGCGACGAAAGCGCCGTTCCGTTCCGAGTCGCGGGCTGTTGATTCATCTTGTTTAGTTTGCGGCGAGTTTGTCGCCGCGCCACGCTGCACTGTTGCAGTGTAGGCGGTGTGTGACTTGTGCCGAGACAACTGCATGCGAAGCAGACGGATTCCGAGCGTCGTTTTCGTCTCTCTGTCTCTCTCGCACCTTTACCCGACGCCCCGTGAGTGCGAGAGAGACAGAGCGACGAAAACGACGCTCGGAATCGGTGTGCAGCGTCGGTGCAGGCCAGACCGCCCCCAAATCAGACAGAGCCGAGCTGCATCTTGGGTAAACACGCTGAGATGCAACACAGCGGCCAGCGAACCCCCCGGGAGGGGGGGGGGGGCACGCGGCGGGAACGCAACGCGAACCACTCCGCCGCCGATCCCCGCCCGACTACATTTTCCGAGCAATTAACTAACGGCCGGTCTCTGTTGAATACTTTGGCTGCGACTCTGTGACAGACAGAGAGCGCTGACAAGTGCGCCCCTGGCGGGTGATGCTGCTAGGAGGCACCACACTGCCTGCCTGCCTGCCTGGCCGCCACCATGTCGTGCTTGGAATAGTTGGCCGTGGCGGTCTAGCTCGCCGTCGGCCTGCCGTCGTCGTCGGCGCTGCGCGGTGCGTCCTCGTGGTTCCGCCTACTCTTTTCGACGACCATCGTCAGCCGCTGCCAAAATACCCGGCGCCTGCAGACTCATTCCGAGAGTCGTCGCTCTGTCTCCCTCGCACTCGTGGGGGCGTCCCCTGTAGGGGCGAGAGAGACAGAGTGACGTAACCGCGGCTGGCCGTCGGCGCGGTGCCGGAGAAGCCGGTGCAGCGCGTCGACGGCGAGGTGCTCGAGGCCGCCGACGGCGCCAGCGGCGCCTGCCGAGGCTTGAGGCATGCCAATTACAATCGCTACAGTGCGGTAGCAGTGGCGTAGCAGCGGGGCCCGGTCCGCGAGGCCGGCGCAACGCCTGGACGCGTGGCTACGCCCCTGGGGGCAGGCGGGGGCAGGCGGGGGCCGAACCGCGGCACGCTCCGCCAAAGCTCGGCCCAGGGCGGCCAACCACTCTGCATAAATGATCCTCGCCCACCCCGGCCGGCCCGCCAGCCAGCAAACTGATTCCGCGCACAGCGCACAGTGGGCCAGAAGACCGGGGAGGCGGCCAAAACTCTAGACGCGTTTTGAGCTCCAGAGTCGGTAAAGAGGACTCGAACCGAACGTGTGACCCCACCAATGGATTGCTCTCCGAACGAGGAATCCATTGGTGGGGCCACATGTTCGGTTCGAGACCTGTTTAGCGACGCTGGAGCTCAAAACGCGTCTAGAGTTTGGGCCGCCTCACCGGTCTTCTGGCCCACTGTGCAGCGCTACGCCGATCTGACTCCCTCGCACCCGCGAGTGCGAGCGAGACAGAACCACCGCCACGCCGCGGTGCGCGAGCTACGCCGCTGCCGGCCGCTGCGCGCCAACCCTGCCCAGGCTGCCCAGGCTGGCCGGCGTGGGCCCAGTGGCAGGCCGGCAGGCAGGCAGTGGCGCAGGCAGGCCCGACCAAAATAACGCCTCCCCCCTCGCCTCCCCCTGAAATCGCGCGGCTTAGCTGCAGCGAGCGTGGATGGGCGGATGGGCCGGCGAGGCTTCCTGTGCTGCGGCGCGGTGCGGCGCGGTGCGGCGCGGTGCGCCAGGCCGCCGCCTCCGCCAGTCGGTTTATTGTTTCGACATAAACAAAATCATAATGCTGCCTCCGCCGCGCCGCACCTCCGGCCGCGCGCCGCGCGCGATGGCCCATGGCCCCGCGGGCCCCGGGTTCGAATCCCGGCGTCGGCGCCGCTCGCCGATAGTCATCCGGGTCGGGCCCACGCCGCAGCGCGCTGGCCTTCCCCGCCGTCGAGTGACACCGTGTCAGGGGGCGTCGCCACGGCGAGGCGGCACTAATTGATTAAAAAACACGCAAAAAAAGGCTGACAAAAAAAACACAAAAACACACACACGCACGCACGCCTACACGAAAACAACATGAATTTGATCTTAAAAGCGTGTTTGGCACTTGGCGGCGAGAATGAGGTGCGCTGTCTTCCGGGCACCCCAGCCCACCCCGCGGCGCGACGCGCAGCACAGCAACCCCGAAACGCCGAGACCCGCTTTAAAACGCGTTTTAAAATACCCAACAAACCCCGCGGCAGTGGCAAGCAGGCCGCGAGAAAAATTACGGCACTCGCCGGGCCGGCACAGTGGGCCAGAAGACCGGTGGAGGCGGCCAAAACTCTAGACGCGTTTTGAGCTCCAGAGTCGCTAAACAGGACTCAAACCGAACGTGTGACCCCATCAATGGATTCCTCGTTCGGAGAGCAATCCATTGGTGGGGTCACACGTTCGGTTCGAGTCCCATTTAGCGACTCTGGAGCTCAAAACGCGTCTAGAGTTTTGGCCGCCTCCGCCGGCC